TATATAAAATTTAAAAATATTTCGATGAAAATCAATTACCATCATCTAATATAAAATTTTTATTATTTCAGAAAATAAAAAAGACAAAAATTTGTTTTAGTCTAAAAAATTATATACTCGTTTGCTATTTTCAGTAAGACCACCAAGACCAGGAAACGTCAGCTCGAAAATTTACAAGAAAAGTGTGGGGAGGCAACAAAAAAATTGAAAATTCTAGAGAAAACTGTGACAGATTCGAAGGTAACCCACCTAAAAATAGTCAAATACCACACTTACAAGAAAATTTACTTTCAAGGAAAGCAAAGATATTGATAAACAGCGCAACAACATTATCGATGAAATCAATGATAAAGAATTAGAGTTGAGTGGTTTGAAACAACAACTAAAATCTTATGAGGAAAATGACCCCCAGAGATTTGAGGCTCTGATGAAAAAAACAAAAGTGAGTTTGAACAATACCTTACTATTGAAGATTGAACCACAAGTATTTACAAACCGAGTGAGATGAAAACACATTTTAGGAACTGAAAGAGGCAATCAATCGATGGACTGACAATATATTTGCAGTGAAGGCTTGGTGCAAGAAAAAATTCTTCATTGAAGATAATGTTTTGAACAAACAGTTTGGCATTCCTGAAGATTTTGATTACATTGAATAGTTTTAGTGATTCTTTTTCAATAAATATTCTTGTGTTCTATCCAACTTACCATTTAACTAAGACTCCTTTCATAACATTTACCATTTTTCTGGAATTATACTTGACATTGACACAGCTTTAGCTTTCTACTAGGTTTGTTCTGGTTTTAATTCTAGGTTTGTTCTGGTTCTACGAAATTCAGGTTCTAGGACGTCGGGATCATGCGCAGTTGATATATAACGTTCTGGTTTATTAAGGATAAGTTAGGATTGATGAATCCTCTGTTCTGGTTTCGACTGCGAATTGATCCTAAACTGTCTTGAACCGTCCAGAATCGTAAGTACTCTCGAAACTGAACTGTTGAGAATTCTTCCTGTTGCTCATGCGCATTCATGTGGAAATTTGTTCGGGCTATTTACAAGAATGTTTTTCCATTTATTCGATTGAATAAAAATAAATAATAAATAACATTTGAATTAGAAACGCTACATAACAAAATGGACATGATCAACAGTATTTTCTCGTCTTCATTTCTTTATATAGACGATATGTGGCACAGTGGTCTCAAAATGTTTTCCGGTTTAACCAAGTCTCCGAGACTTGTTTCGAGATTTTTTGTTTGTATGCATCGTGTCTTGGGCAGTTTCCAAACATTTTAGGATGTTAGAACCAGAACAAACCTACAGTCACAGAATAGAGTATTCTGTGATACATTACCAGAAGCTTAGTATCAATAACGTCAAGTGTCAAATAATAACTAATCTATCCAGTGAACTATATACTATTTATAGTTCATTCAAATTCGATTTTTTTTTCGTGACTAGCGGTTCGTAAGGTGATAAAAACTTGTGAAATGTGTATAAATTTCCAATTTTTTGCGAGCACGATGCATATGAAAACTATCCCCTAATTCTCCTTGCCAATATCCTGTACGTGACAGAGACAGAGCTAGATATAGTTATCTACAAAATTTGAAGCATTAAACAGGGAGAACAACTGTATCGCAAAAGGTTATTCGCTTTCTCAGCTCGATGTATTTTGATCGAGCAGAAGGAGCGAATACCTAAGAAATTCCAGTATGCAGTATGAAGATAAAGAATTTCTTCTACTCTTTATATTTTATAAATGTCAGTTGTCCACATTAGAAAAACCTCAGAGTAACAAATGCCAATAGAGAGGCCTTTTCCATCCTCACATTGAAGGCAGCATAACTTTGTTTGTTTACGGGAAGTAAGTTGGACCATAAAACAGTGGCGGTCGATTTAGTTGATAACCGGAGGGATATTATATATTTATAAAATAAATAATTTCAGGTGAAATGTATTGTTCAGATAGTTCCTACAGGAAATCTGATTTATTATTGATGATTATGGAAATGAGGCCAATTTTTCTACCACCTACTAGATTTTTATTTATGTATGGCTTTATAATAAATAATAATCTAGTAGGTGGTAGAAAAACTGGCTTCATTTCCATAATCATTAATAAATAATAAATCAAATTTCCTGTAGGAACTATTTGAACAGAATACGTTTTCACCTGAAATTATTTATTTTATAAATATATAATATCCTTCCGATTATCAACTAAATCAACCGCCACTGTCTTATTGTCCAACTTACTCAAATGTGAACAAACTCTCCATAACCTCTCATTAACCGTCTTCCCCCGCGCTTTTAGGTTGTACAGAAAAGGTTAGTACGATACCCGTTTCAAAACACATGTATTGTATTGGTATAGAATAAAACAAATGAAGAGGTGATTATAAAAATGGATCCAAGCCATTTTTTGACATTTTTAGTACAGTTTAGTATTCTCAGTTCCCTATTTATTATAAGTGTGTTTCCATCTACACAATATTTTTTTAATGAGAGGAAAAAGGAACATAGGTCCATTTGCCCACGATAAATGAAACTGTGTCCAAGAGAACTAGTTTACTAATCTTTTATTTGATTCATGTCAGGTTTACATGTTTTTCTTGATAATTGTCCAAATGAACCTGTTTCAACTAAGATTCCTAGAAACCCTGGTGTTGGTAACGCTTAGATTTTGTTTTGAACTTTTTGAAGGAACCACCTGTTGCTTTTAACAACACTTACGAATCTCTCGGAGGAATCAGTCCAGTCATCACCCGAAGACGATTGTAGATACCAACAATCGAAACGTCGTGAACTAACGTGACTTGTAATCTCTACACTTTTTTATTTTTATTATTTTCTTTTTTCATTCCTTTAATTTTTATTTATTCAATTATTATATTTTTACTTGTATTTCATTTCATTTCAGGTTTATTGTTGCTTAATATAATTGTTATTTTCAGCTATCCTTTTTTAATTATTCTTTTTTACTTGTTTCGGCGATTTCAAATCATTTTATATAGTAGACAATGGAAGTCCGAACTAGTGAAATTCATCACGAAACATTGTCAATCACCTTCAAACAAACACTATAGATGGCACTTAGCTCTTTGGCAAAAGTTCAATATTTTTTTTCTGAATTTGACTCAACTTTTAGTTGCCATCTAAAGACATTATACCATACAAAAAGTGTTAATGCTATGAATAGTTAATTACATTTATAAATTTTATCTTGAAAATTTGAAATTGGCAGTTTGCTTGTTTGAGTTGAGAGGTTTCATTTTATGGTGAGACTTTCACATGACAGTTTAAAAAACCGCAATACTTGTTTGATCGTGCAAGTTTAATGAGAAGTTCTGAATTTGTGAATCTGTTGATGACCAAGCATTCTAAAGGATTCAACTTTATACCTGTCTCTTTCAAATATAATACACTAAATCAAGAGTGTTTTTTTAAAAATGAAAAGACCAATTCTACGTTTTGAAATCAAATATGATGAAAGTATTACATTTGAAATATAAAAATAAAATACCCAGTCTTTTAGAATGCTTGAAAATCAAAAAACATGCAAAAATTCAGACTGATCAATGACCAATAAGAATTGAAGAATAATTGAAGATTTTAATTAATGTTTGTTCGAGAACCCAAATAGTATTGTTACATCTTCATTTTCAAAGAGATTGTTTTTAGAATTGTGATTAATTATTAATGATTAAATAATTAGGTTCCTATTCATTACTATATTTAAGAAGATGCAGACACACCTGCATAGTAAAACGTGTGTTGTAGTTAATGAAAATGTAAAATCATATCTGATTTTTATTTGATTTTTTTCCAGGAATTGGAAAAAATTGCTCCAAAAGAAAAAGGCATTGTAGCAAATTCTGTGAAAGATGTAGTACAAAAATTAGTTGAAGAAGACTTAGTAGACACAGACAAAATTGGGACCTCTGTATATTTTTGGGCATTTCCCAGGTAACTCATGGGCAAACAGGAAACAACACATACAAACAGATTTATCAACAGGAGCCTACTGCACATTTGTGGTTCCAGTTGGGAGACCTAGAAATTCTAGAATACACCGAACATTACCATTAGGCAGCTGATATTAATATAAAAAAGGTGTTATCAAGTGTGTATGATTTAAATTAAAAAGGAGGAGAATTCACAGAACAGCACTGTCTTCTGACGATCCGCAGTTGACCCCTGATGATGAATCTGCTTGTTCATTTTACCCTATTCTTTACACCTATTGTTGCCTATTCTTTACTTTTGGCTGTACTGTACTGACGGGCTAAGTAGGCAGAAACACATGTCTGCGTTTTGACCACTTTCCTATGAGTGCTTGTCCAATAGTTCCGTTTCAGTGGGTTAATACCATTTCACTCAATATCCATCATTCTTATGTAGTAAATATATANAATATTTCTTTGTAATCTAGTGAATTATTCAGTTTTTCCATTCCAATACCATACTAAAAACATGTATTCAAGTATATAATCTTTATACTTACCACCTGTTTTGCGGAATTCGTTCCGATAAACAACCAATGTCAACTACATAATATCTGCCAACATTTCTTGAGTTGAAATATCAAGAAATTACACGAAATTTCTTCAAAACTTTGCTTGGGTTGAAACTTCAACTAATAATTCACCAGAACTTGGACACTTATCTTTCAATTTAATACTGACAATTCGTCAATAACACTTAAAACACAAAAAATTCATTAACTCACTTTTTAAGTTATCCTAAAAGCACAGTAGGTATGAAAAATGAATGTGGAATTAAATATAAATACAAATACACCCTGTGTGGTCTTATGATTACAGTTTACTGTAATGACTGCTTGCGCCATCTGAAACGGCGTAAACGGCGTTGATCTCTGCTAATCAAGTTAGCCATAAATCCCTCATTTTACCCCAAACTTTTGCAGGTATGAGTAGATGCACCAGGGTTTTTAGACATCTTAGTTTTAACCTATGTAGGTACTTCATGCACTTTCGGAACCAAGTGAAATGGTTTTTTCAAGGTTGGCAATTCGTACGGCACTACCCAATTCAAGGTCGAATCGAGTTCAAATTGTAAGTTTTTTAAAATTCATTTATACATAAATCAATTGTCGGAAAAAATAAATGCGAATTCTCTATTCTACCTATAAAAATAACTATATGATTGAAAAGTAATGGAGAGTATTTTGTCTATAACAGTGCATAGACAAGTATAATACAAAGTATTGTATATGAAAGGAGTATGCTGCCACAGATTCTAGTACCTTAAACATTATATTACGCTTTTCTATGACAACAATCTTTTTTAAAGAGCGACATAAATGTCAACATGAAAGTAGTCAAACCAGAAAACTCAACACATGCCGTAAAAAAATATAAACTTGTTTTTCTTGGAGAACAAAGTGTTGGTAAAACCTCCTTGATTACAAGATTTATGTATGATAGTTTTGATACATCTTACCAAGCTACAATAGGAATAGATTTTCTTTCGAAGACGGTTTACCTCAAGGACAGAACTATAAGATTACAACTGTGGGACACAGCTGGACAAGAACGTTTCAGATCCCTAATTCCGTCCTATATTAGAGATTCTGCAGTTGCTGTAATTGTGTATGATATCACAAATATGTATTCTTTTGAATATACTACAAAGTGGATAGATGAAGTGAGAAGAGAAAGAGGGAGAAATATAGTTATAATTTTAGTAGGCAATAAAGTGGACTTGGAAAATTTCAGAGAAGTTTCAGTTGAAGAAGCTGAACAAAGAGCAAAAGAAAATAATATTGTATTTATTGAAACTAGCGCCAAAGTAGGGTACAATATTAAACAGTTATTTAGAAGGATTGGAGAAGCTCTACCAAAAATCGACCCCACTCTTCAGGCTTCAGAAAAGAATGAAGAAATTATTCTGGGAGAGTCCGAAAGAAAGGATATGAACAATCAATGTATTTGCTAATGAATCCTATTGTATACATGTTTTTTTATTTGCAAATAACACCATTATATGGTTATTAGCGGCGGAAAATATATTTATATACAGTAACTATATTAATTACAAAGTAATATTTTGTTTTTCAAGTTCAGAACACTTAGGTAATTTAAATGCAGAGTATGTAAAAAATATTCTAAAATATCATTTTGATTGTCGGCCAATATTAGATATAGTTTGGTACCATCTTAAGATAGAAGCTAATCTTAATTTGTTGATAAGTATATAATGAAAATTATTTCCAACTCATTAGAGTGTTCAATAACCAATATGAACATTTGAAAAAACTAAACATCTCCATGAAAATACCAACATCATTCATTATCAAATCTTAATATTGTGATACCATCTACTTCAAAGAGATGAACAAAATTAGATTCAAACAAACCCGTGTGTTTAATGATCGTTTCGAGCATCATATTTTAGAGAAATATTTATCCTCCGAAATGGCGACTAAATACTCACCTCGACGTAATTTTTTAAACAAATGGCCAACCAAAGATATTTAATCAGTTGCTGTTGCTAATTCACTAGAGGTGGAACCACTTGAATATTTCAGAAGTTCACTCAAGTATCATATTTTGATATACATCTTACACAAGATGTTATTTTGTATATTGAAAAAAAACAGTTCAAAGTATCCACTTTCAATTTTCTTATATCAAGTTTTTATAAAAATATAAAAAATTTGGATTAAAATGTCTGAAAATATTCACATCAAGATTGATACATTTTTGCGTCTGTTAGTCTGTTCAAACCAAAACTCAGAACAATTTTTTCTACTTTGAAAATCATAGTTTCGGAAGGCTTAAGCAGTTCAATGACGCGATAAAAAACATTGTTCACCCATTTTTGTTTGACATGAGGGAGCAAATAAAAGTACTAAGGTAATAAATTAAGAGAATATAAACAATGAGTCATTAAATTATTGTTTTTCTCCTTTAATAAATCGTTTGATGTGCTTGAGGGAGCTGGGATACTTTTGGCAAACTAGTTATACAGGGTGATTCAAAAGTACTTTGACAAACTTCAGGAGGTGATTCCTCACAATATTCTAATATGAATTGTCCGACTAAATAAATGTCCGGAAAGGCTTCGTTTCCAAGATACAGGATGTTGAAGTTTTATTTTTATTTTGGTTTTTTTAAATAACTTGAAATACTGAACTTAATTAAACGAAACTTGGTAATAGGAGGTTTTTGAGGTGTCGAATTCGAACCTGATGTTCTTATTGCTCTTACTCGTAGGGGGCGCCACCTACACGTCTTTTTCTTTTTTAAAGATAACCAAGGTCCACAGATCTAAACCCGATAGATTTTTATTTTTGGGGACATTTGAAGTCACTAGTTTATAAGACTCCAGTAGTGAACGAGGAAGATCTAAGAAACCGAATAGTAGACGCCTGTGAAACAATAAGAAACACACCAATAATTTTTGAGCGGGTACGAGATTCAATGACTAGACGACTGACTGCCTGTATCTTCGCTGAATGTGGACACTTCCAACAATTTATTTGAATACAATTTAGTTTTGTTTATTTTAGTTTATTCTACATATTCAAAATTTCTTGAAAATTTTATTAAAACAAATACTGATTATGCACCCTTGATACAAAAATAACTATTTCGCTTAAGGATGTCATAATGGAACGTACCCAACAGTAATGACCTCTTCAAACGAGTAAAACGTCAAATTCATCTCCAAAGCATTCTTGTGAAAAAAGCAAAATATTCGTAATAACTTCAACATGCATCGATTATCAAATAATCGACTTGAAGTTTTCAAGTCCAAATATTTAGAAAACGGTTGCTTACAGTGACTAGTAACAAGGGTAGCTTATTTACGTAGATATGATAGAGGAATCGATTTTTTTACTGAAAAATGTGCTAGAAGTACGCCCAAAAAAGTTATGAATCTTTAAAAAAGAAAAAGACGTGTAGGTGGCGCCCTCTACGAGTAAGAGCAATAAGAACATCAGGTTCGAATTCGACACCTCAAAAACCTCCTATTACCAAGTTTCGTTTCATTAAGTTCAGTATTTCAAAAGTTATTTGAAAAAAACGAAAATAAAAATAAAACTTCAACATCCTGTATCTTGGAAACGAAGCGTTTCCGGAGATTTATTTATTTGGACAATTCATATTAGAATATTGTGAGGAATCACCTCCTGAAGTTTGTCAAAGTACTTTTGAATCACCCTGTATATACTATTGAGCATTGAGCATTACCCATTCTCCAATTCTCTACAGGACCGGTACGGGACCACCAAGAAATTCTGCGAAACAATTATTGAGTATTTTCTGATAGTGCTTCTTTACCAAAAGATGGAAGAAGTAACCTTATATATTCTTCTCGAGTTAGACTTTTCAAATAAAAAATCATCCAAGAAAAAACCGTCACATGTCAATTTCTAGGCTGTTACTGATTCTAACGACATATTTTATCCCTCGTTTAAAACAAAAGGCAACCCACCTAACAAATGTTTTGAACTTGTTACTGCAATTCATTTCACAAAAGAATGCCCTATTTTCGTCTAAAAATGATTGACAATCCTTCATGGTGAATTTTACGTTCGGACTTCCATTTCCATTGTATAATTATTTTACTATTATTCGAAATCTATGAAAGAACAAATAAAATTAGAAAGAATAGCTGAAATAGCAATTATATTAAGCAATAAAACGTGAAATAAAAATACAATAAAACGAATAAAATAACCAAGATAAAAGATGAAAATGACCACAGAGTTAAAGAAATAAAGACGAATTGACATCAAAATGAAACTGAGCAAAAATTAGTAAAAAAAAGGGGGCGTCTCGGGACTCCCGACAGAAGTGACAACTTAAACTAATCTAAGTTGAACTGTTTACATTGAAATTGTTTAACTTGAGAAAATCTTATATTATTACTTAAATGATGTAAGGAAAGGTTATTTATTAATAAAATTGTTGAAACCTGTTATTCAGATTTTCCAATTATTCAATTTGTTGCTTGTTTTTATATTTTTTTTGCTCACCATATATTTGTTTTTGGAAAAGTCATTAAAATTTTGTTAGAATAAAAATACAGTTTTATTGGTGATTCCTGAAAAGAAAAATAACTAGTCAACTAGAACAAAAATATTTTATCATGACTTAAAATAGTTATCCATGAATATGGCAAAAACTGATATTATGTCTATCAAAGGTGAATTAGATGAGCTTGTCATGTGTGACAATTTTATAGGAAGCGCTGAATATACAATATTTCTACGTGTTCATATAGATTGCAGACGGAAATTCGATGAACATGAAATTTAAATAAAAAATTGTCCTGTGGATGTTATTCAGTAAGAGTAACATTGAATGAACTTGTTTTTTCTTCCGTCAAGGTTGTGTACCATTCCTTAGTAGAATCCCACTTGATATATAGAATCCCATTCTGGGGTGTGTGTAAAATGAATTTCATAGACTCTGTATTTGTACTACAAAAACGTGCAATAATATACATGTGCAAAGCAAGAATTCTAGATTTCTGTAAACCTCTTTTTGTTAAACACAAAATGTTAACAGTATTTGCAATTTTTGTTATGAAAACGGTATGTCTAATTAAAAAACATATTCACAAATTCAACATTACTTACACACGTCCCGCCACCCGTCAAGCTCGTAACATTAAACTCCCGATCTCATCACTGACACCAATTAAACATTCAGTAATTTATGGAGGTGGTAAGATGTTCAATCACTTACTAAAACACATCAAAATTCCGTAGAACATTTTAGAAAGGAAGTAAAAGCTCTCCTGTTGGATAAACCCTATTATAATTTACAAGAATTTTATAATGATGCATTCTAACTCAGGCTTGTTTCAATATGTTGTAAGATGTTTCTCATGTGCTAGATTTTATATATTGTTGTAGGTATGAGACATTCTAGTACAATGTCGGTGTCGACTTATTGTCCCATTTCTTCTTTCTGTGTATTTTACTATACTTTAATTTAAGATTGTGTCAGACCTTCACTTTTGTCAATGAAATTTTGTATCTTTGAACAATAATGCATATTCTCTCTCTCTATTTTATTTATATACATATATTACAGCTACCATAAGCTAATTATTACTTTTGTAGGATTAAATAATGATACTAATAATGTACATATGCAAATTAGTATCACCATTTTTATGCCACGTTTCACATAATAAAGAATATTACGTGCTTGCTGGTCAGATTTTTATAATACTGCTAACAGTATATGTCTAACGCTCACTAACCACTGATATATATAT